TGATTGCCTGCTCCCCCCTCTGAATCCTTTCCCTGTTGTAGGCCTCCCACATCTCACTAGCAATCTGGTCACGACGGAGGCTCGCACGAGTGCGTGCGTGCTCAGTAGGAGGACCGTTAGCAAGGTTTCCAGTGTCAGTGAGAATGTGCACATCTAACACATTACGATAGTCCATCATGTCGTTTGGATCGTGAACTCGAATAACGTTGTGCACGAGACACAAGGCAGGAGGAATGCGCGCTTGAATGTCCATTTTGTACTCTGGCGGGAGGAGAAGGATACGAAATCGGCGCTTGATGACACCAAAAATGCGCTCAACAGCATTTCGAAGCATTGCATGACGCAAATTGAAAAGTTCTTTGCGATTACGAGGCCTATGTAATGATGTGAACATAAGTATGAATGGTACTAGCAGAACGCATCATACAAAGTATTAGCACGACCCCACTCTACAAGATGATAACGCACACCCCGAAATGGGACCAGAAGCTCATCGCACGAGCCAAATCCAGCGTCCGCAAGATAATACTTTCCCTCAGGGATATTGAAATCGGTAGTACGAGCATCGTGATAGACACGAGCATCTGCAGCTGACCCCTCCCAACCGCTCAACATGTAGGTAAACGAAAGGTTGAATGAACATGCCGCGAGGCAGTTTTGAGAGAAGTTCCCCTTGCGATCCCGAGCGGCATGCCGATCTTCACCAAAAGGATGGCATGCAATGTGTGTACCGTCAATGGCTCCGATAGCGTCAACAAAGAACGGGAAGAACTTCAGGTTTTTCGTGATTTCGGGGGGAGGAGGGCTATCTACGTCGGGCAGGCGGACGTATGTCGTATATATCGGTGGCGAGGAGAATGCGAAAAGAACCCGTTTAAAATACCTGAAAGAACATAAGCTTGATACCAGGACAGCAACAATATACGTACTTTGATATTGTTTCATTGGACCGCTGAAAGCGTTCACCAAGATGGCAAATCGAGAGACCCGTGACAGACGCATAGAGAAATATAGCAAGCTGCTCTTCTAGCAGTACATGCCTGGAATCTCTGCATCCTGCTTGCCGAAGGAGATTGATGAGCACATAGAAAACGTGCTTGTGGACCCCGAGCTCGCATCTGATGCGTTCAGGGTGTCCAGTGAGAAGTTCGGTGACCCATGCAGTCCCCGACAAAGCGGAGGTATGATACGGCTCTTTGTCATAGTAGGTGTTTGAGTAAGCTTCGAGCGCGGTAGTTGTTGCGTTGAGGACTGTAATGACCGTGCGCATAGCATGCATGGCCATCTGCATGATGCATGCCAGATACTTCTTATCACTCTCCTCTGCATCGTTGTCCATATCCTCTGCCTCCACAAGGTCATATTCGTCCTCGTTAGCGTCCTCGTCGTAATCAGGATCAAGAGGCATTGTATTGATAGTAGGATAAGGCATACGGTAAGCGTTATCGGAGCGTGACATCTTGTTCAAGCTCCGACGATTAGCAAAGCCAGAACCAAATTCTAACTTGCGCAAATAATGGTGGCCGAACAGACTCTAAGGAGTCTTGGAAGGAGGCACCGCAGGCTATTAAGGAGCTGGAGGAGGGAGAGGCGCTTGTTACGAGGACTGAAGGATGGTCAGTTGCGGATGGTGTTTTGGAATGAGATCAAGCCGGACGATGAGACTGCGGGGAAGCATATTGAGAAAGGCGAGTTTGGTAGTGTGGGATACATCTGTTTTGGACAGAATTCTTTGATTCGTGGCATTCGCTGAAGGTGCTGAATGATGTTGATTTGTTGAAGGCGCTGCATACTAGTGTGTGTTTTGAGATATCTCCTCTTGTTTGGTGTCTGACAGGTACGATCCCGAAGGCGCCGTCAAATGTAAAGAAGAAGGGAAAGTGCTCTGCACCGCGACAGAGACAAGCGAAGATCACGAATACGCATTTGAAGGGAGAGATTGACCTTTCGAGAGATTTTGATCTGAGGATGTGCGTTTTTATGTTTCTAAACATCTTTAGCGTGTCATGGGCGTACCTTTCGTTCGAGGCAGTGTCCAACATTTTTATTGGATACAGTACTTTATCAGTTGTACTGCGAGGCGGCAGCCGCAAATGTGTGTTCTAAAACCAAAATCGGTTATTTCTTCAACGCGCAACAACTGTAGCTATATCAGCTATGCTTCTTCCCGCAGCCGAGGGGTTCGTATTTCCATTCCTTCGCGTATCAGATAAGGGGAGGATACTGCCGGAGCTGTGGTACGTAGTACAATGGTAGTGTAGAAGCGTGAAAACCGCGAGCCACTTTGAGCATCCACCCCTATTACATAAGATACAAGCGTTGTGGTTCCCATTGCACTTTGCACCTCACGAGCTCAATCACCGTACCACACTGAGAGAATATGATAATTTGTCCATGTCTCGTGAATTGGGCTGTCAGTCTCCTTATAATTGTTACATAATGTGTACATGGAAGGAGAAAATATCCCGACTTTTCCAATTATCACGCTGGATTTCCTCATGCAGCCTACCCGTGTAACGGTGTACTAGATACATCAATAATACATCAAGAGAGGTACAGAAGACCCTATTGTACGAGCACCAATATCGTAGGTATTGTGGCAACATATCACTAAGCGCAGACCACGCCCCATCCTTTCCACTCTGTTCTACCCTCCTGGATATCAAGAATCTTTTTCCGGATTGCCGTGCCGACTGGACCCATCCCATCTCCAGGAATTACGATGTCCTTACCCTCAAACCCGATTCTATTGCAAGGTCCTACAATGGCCGCTGTGCCTATGGCTAATGCTTCAAGCAGTTTGCCCTCGGACGACCATTTGGCGAGGTCGCTCATGGTATACACCATTTCTTGTGGGTGTAAGCGCATTGAAATTTCTTGGTGGAATTCTGGATCACTCGCAAGGGCGAGGCATGATGCTCTAGTCACTCCAGGTAGAATAGTACCGTCCAGAGGGGCGGTGATGAGGTCCACGCCTTCAACCAATGAGTTCATTTATATATAAAACCATGTCCAATTCAAACTCACCGTCTTCATCGTCCCTCTTGACCACAACGAAGAAGTTCATCGCTCCAGCCTCTGTGACTCTTCTGTCATCACCAAACAGCCAAAGGAGTTGATCATAGCCTTTATCTGCAGCAGTGCGTTGGGGCAGGAAGCCGGGTGAGTAGTTGCCAGCAACTTTGTCTCCTCCAGTTCCACCCGGCCACGCGCGCACATTCTCACTGACTGCAAGAAGAGAAATAGGCTTCGCAAAGTATGGCCCAGTTGGCGATACAATAATATAAAGCATCGCATGGTCAGACGCCGTCAGTCCCAAACCTACATCCCAATCAGGTGAATACCTATACATCATCAACCTATTCCACGAACCTAGACGGGTTGCAATGACGGTAGGACGGATATACAAACTATATCCTGATTCTTTGGGTATCCAGCGCCTATCAACATCCACCAGACGCTTTATGAGTTCTAAAACAGCATCTCCATCGATGGTCTGTATGGGGCAACGAAGTCAGAGACACTCCCTGCATGAACGTCACGGTACTCACGGGAAGAGCGAGACGTGCACAAGACTTCTCCATTCGACGCATGTTCATATCTGGGCGGAACAAGCGTATCTTATCGTCAGGCCCAAGGTAAGCCTTCATGCCCTCAAAGATATTTCCGCCGTAGTGAAAGCACGAGCATTGAGGATCAAGTGTAATGGGTCCATAGGGCTTGAGCTCAGGCGCGGACCACCCTTTTTCAGGGTCGTGAGTTGCAACAACCATGTGGTCCGAGAATGTCTGGTATCATTATCGTTGAGCGACATGAATATGGTTGTCGGGAGTATTTGCTCACCTGGCCGAAAAGTAATGTCTCGATGGGCTGCAGGGGCTTCAGTGTCTGTGCGAGCGTGATCTTAAGCTTAGATGCCTGCAATAGCGTTGGAGTTACACGTGACTACGTTTAGCAGGCGACACACTCACATCGAGTGCAGCAGGGCTTCCCGAGTTGGGAGAGTCTCCCGTTTGGCCTGGGGCTGGAGAAGTGACGCTGTTTCCGTCACCCATAGCTATTGTGACGATATGCGAGATCAGTTGGACCTATATGTTTATATAAGTACACTCACAACTGACTAGGAAGATATGACAAGAATAATGACTCGATCAACGTCGCTTCCGAGTCAGAAGTCTCGAGCTTATCAATGGATCGGATCGGGTCGGGTCGGCTACCCTTCTAAATGGAAATCGTCCATGCATTACGACACAATACAAGACCCCCTGCTACTCTCCAGTTGATGATCAGTTACTTGTGTTGATGGAGACATTGTACAATGGTAATCAGAGTACGCGTGTGATCACGAGACAAGTCACGTGAAAACCGCCACTTTGTGTGTCCTTGGAAGGTGCTTGTTGCGGGGACTGTGCAGTGTGAATGATGGTCAGTTGCGGATGGTGTTTTGAAATGAGATCAAGCCGGGCGGTGAGACTGTGGGGAAGCATGTTGAGAAAGGTGAGTTGAGTAGTGTGGGATACATCGTGCTGACTTTGTTTTGGACAGAATTATTTGATTCCGAGTCGTGGCATTCGCTGAAGGTGCCGAATGATGTTGATTTGTTGAAGGCGCTGCATACTGGTACGTGTTTTGAAGTATCTCCTCTTGTTTGGTATCTGACAGGTACGATACAGAGGGGCTTCAGGCTACTGCACGATTCCGAAGGCGCCGTCAAACGTGAAGAAGTACTTGGCACTGCGACCGAGAACAAGCGAAGATCACGAATACGCATTTGAAGGGAGAGAATGACCTTTCGCGAGATTATGAGAGGAAATGATCTGAGGATGTGAGTTTTTATGTTTCTGGATTCCTCCTCTTTACCGTGTCATGGGGCGTACCTTTCGTTCGAGGCCGTGCCCAACATTTTTATTGGATACAGTTATCAGTTGTACTGCTAGGCGGCAGCTGCAAATTATGTGTGTTCTAAAACCAAAATAGGTTATTTCTTCGCAAGAACTGTAGCTATATCAGCTATGCTTCTTCCCGCAGCCTAACTCTGTCTTTGAGGAATAATCGAGGCGTTCGTATTTCCATCCCAATTGCAACACGGTACCTTTAGGTAAACTATTGTCCTTTTGTAGAAAGCGCAGTGTTTTCAGTGACTGAATTCATTCATTTGGTAAAATGACAGGTCCGAGGTAGGATCAAATGTCCCGTCCTTAAATATATTAGATAAGGAATAAGAGAGCAAGCTAATACTGACGCTGTGGTTCCTTCGCGTATCAGATAAGGGGAGGATACTGCCGGAGCTGTCGTCAGTAGTAATAAGCGTGTCCGAAGCTCCCAATGCAATGTCTTTGACAGTCACAATCCAGTGATGCTTTGCAGTGCCCTGAACGACGACGTGCTTGCTGGAAGCAGGCAGGGAAGTTTTAGTGAAACGCAGGAATACGAGCAAGCATATTCTGTTGAGAGCCGGCGACATATTGAGAGACATCCATGTCAAACCCATTTTCCTGCTCGACTGAAAAAGTACTGCACAAAACTTTACTTGCTATGATGACCGTCGGAAAAGCGCGAGCACCATCAGGAAGAGGTTGTAGGTCCTATGCACACAAATACTTTTATCGTCAATGAAGATGTCTGCGCATCCAATGGTGTCTATGGGGTTGTGGTATTAGTGTGTTTCTGACGCTGTACAGAATGAGGATTTAGTCCGTATCACGTTGTCGAAGTGCGAGGATAGTCTGGGATGCTCACTGAAACACATGTTTGCTATTCATGATTGCACTCAGCAAAATGAGATTTGACTTGAAATTGTACATGATGCCGCTCTACGCCATCATTCTGAAGTTTGAATTAAAAATTTGAACTGAAGACTCTATATCTCCCACCTTTTAAAAATGACGGAGAAAGGCTCGGAGCCGCACTCGAGTGCGTGACGTAGATGTTTAGTTGAGAATTCGAAGATGCCAACATCCGATGGTCAGCTGGGTGTATCCCGTCACCATAAATTCACAACAAGGCATATCCCATTCCATAGCTAGACCGTTTGGTTACGCGACTGTTTTCTTCTTATACCTTCTTCATAATCGTGTTATACACCGCGTTAATATTGTCGTCGTCGTCGTCCTCGCCGAGGTGGTAAAGTTAATTAACTTTTCTGCTGTCGGAGTGTGAAATTGGAGTTGTCTCTCGAAACGCGACTGGGTGTCTCAGCAGCTAAGTACATACCAGCTCACGCGCTCGCGCCTCGTTCTTGTGGAACGTGGCAGATCAAGGTAATGAAACCCTTCTACAACATATGCATATCTTTCATCCAAAAAATGGGTACTGACAACGCTCTTGGTCAGGTTTACTACACAAGCCACCGGAAAGCTATCCCGAGACGCTTGGCAGGTGCTGCTACCGGGTTTTGGAAAGGAATAGGCTTTTCAACACCAAGGTTTTCAAATTCTTCATCTGCTTCTGTCTCGTCTATTGAACCGCTGGATCGTCCTGAATCACCCGCCATGTCCACTCCAGATGTCCCCACAACCCCTCTGACGAATTCAAACGGTGCCCTCCCACACGACAGCCCTGTAGATACACCTCCTCCCTTTGACACCTCACTCTTTAGGACATATCTCGTGTCGCTCTTGCCACCGGTACTTGGCGCTCTACCCGAGGACTTTGAAAGCATGTTTGATGAAGAATTCGACGAGAGAGTCACTCGCTTTGCGGCAGAGGGTGGAGGCGTGATTTATGTGGTGAAAACGAGGGACGAAGCAGAGGGTGAGCTTTTGCATCCAGTTTTGAAACTGACCTGACGTGTACTAGAGGACGCGCCGCAGACTTATTCATACCACTTAACTTCGCATCTGACCTATTCTTCTACGAGTGTCACATCACTTGCACTCATCAAACGCGGTCCTACCCTGGATCCTCTGACACCTCTTGCCACGCAACTACATATCCTCAATTTGTTTGGAGGCGAAGAAACGCCGTACGAGAGTCTGCATGCTGTTGTGAGCTGTGGTGTTAAGCCCTGGTTTGATGCTTTTGTCGGAGCACGGGGTGGGGGCAAGGATGGGGATAGTAAAATGGGTATGTTTCAACTTTATTGCTTTGGCTTTACTCACTTGTGTTTATAGGGATACCCATGACCAAGAAGAAGTTTGCCGAACTGGAATTGTCATTATTGCACCTTCAGCAGAATGTGGAAATACCTGAGACGCATTTGATCATTCATCCAGCCATCCAGCGCGCTGTAGAACAGGTCGGTTCCTCAGTGACATCAGTTTTCCGAAGGCTGAAGACGATCACATTAGGCTCATGCTTCAGGCGCACGTCCAAACATATCACACATACCTCAAAAGCTCCTAAACGAAAGTTCATTCCTCAACACTTTACACGGACACGTCAACATGTGGATCAAGGCTATTCAAGCAGTCACTAAGCTTTCGCGCGACGTTTCCTCCGGTACTGCTTCGCAAGAAATCAACTTTTGGCTGAGTCTTGAGCGGGCACTGGAGGGTATTGAGGCGCAGCTACGCAGCGATGAAGTGACCATGGTCATGGAATGTCTTCGAAACGCGAAGCGATATCTCGCAACAGTTAGTTTCATGACGGACACTGGCCTGAAATCTTCTACGGATCTTGGTGCGCATTGTTTCTGGCATCGTCAGCTGGATGCTGATGGGTATCATCAGTGCACAAATACAACCAACTGATGAAAGATTTCCCTCTCAATGAGCTATTATCTGCGACAGATCTTGAAAAAATCCAAGAATCATTGGTACTCATCTTTGGACACATCAACCGCAAGCTCAAGCTTTCGCCCTACCCAATCCGTCGGGCACTACCCCTCGTTGAGGCGATTTCTCGTGATTTCAACGACCAGCTATTGCGCGTGCTGACGTCGCATAGGCTGTCGTACACTCCATACGAGACCTTTGACCGCCTACTCGGACAGACCATGAACATCTTCCGGACGTGGGATGATCTTATCAAGGAGTTCACAAATGTCGCTCGCGAGGTTATGCGCAAACGTGGAGAGAAGTTTGTCCCCATCAAAGTTGTTGCTGCGCACGCGAAACTACAGGAGCGGACGAGGTATCTGCGTGACTGGAGGAAGCAGCACGAGCAGCTGGCGGTGATGACCGGGCCCACGAAGGGTTTGGGGAGCATGGCTAAGGAGGTGGGCGGAATGGACATGGAGGAAGAAGTGAAGGAGGCGTATGAGGTGGTGAAACGCATTGATGTTCTCGATGTTTCTGTTGGTGAGTATCTGACTTTGATATGTCGTTGTTGAAGTCACCTCACTCTCTTTGCAGAGGGCACGGAGATCTGGGTGGCTGCTGAGAACGCATACAACGAACGGGTTGCAAGGGTTGAGAACCAAATCATTGCACGGCTACGCGACAGGCTAGGCACGGCAAGAAATGCGAATGAAATGTTCAGAGTATTCTCCAAGTTCAATGCACTTTTCGTTCGCCCAAAGGTAGCTCATTTTGTGGGACGGTGTAACACACGTCTAACCCCATATCCCACAGATTCGTGGAGCTATCCAAGAGTATCAAACTCAACTCATCGACTCAGTGAAGGAGGATATCAAGCGCCTTCACGATAAGGTAGGCAGCATACTCTTTTATTGTTTCCGTTACTCATAATGACCATCAAGTTCAAAACGCAATATCGGTTATCTGAAGCTTATCACATGTCGCAAATGCGGGACCTCCCTCCAATAGCAGGTGCCATCATCTGGGCTCGGCAAATTGAGCGACAGCTACTCACCTACATGAAACGAGTGGAGGATGTGCTTGGCAAGGGCTGGGAGCTCTATGCAGAGGGTCAGAAGCTTCAGTCAGAAAGCACCGCATTCAGGAAGAAGCTAGAGACACGGCCAGTGTATGACGCCTGGATGCAAGACATCAACCGACGCGACATGGGTGTCAATGGCCGCCTCTTTGAGATCGTGAGATTACGGGGAGGAGGGTTCCAACTAGCAGTAAACTTCGACCCCCAAATAATCACACTTTTCAAGGAGGTTCGTAATTTGTTGTGGCTAAACTTCCAGGTCCCACACGCGATCACGAACATGGCGAAGGATGCGAAGCGAGTATACCCTCATGCTGTCAGTCTTATGGAGACTGTCAGGACCTATGGGCAGACTCTGGATCTGGTGGAGAATAACATGGGCATAGAGTGGTTGGTTGCTGAATATCGGAATGAGGCTCAGCGGATGGTTGCCAAAGGTGATCAGATTCAAACCGTTGACATAGCGGCAGCCTGACATTTTTTGTCCAGGTATGAACATCAAGTGGGATTACTTTGTCAACCAGTACGATACCGCACGGTACGTAAGCAGTGCCGATGGACGCGAGAACCGACATATCCAATTCGTGCGGGAGTTTGCGAGTGTTGTGTCTATCCTACAAGATAAGACCAACAACGTCATTGACCTTTATCGCAACATTCTTCGAGCAGTCGAGGATCTCGCAACATGCCCTTACACTAGCGAGGCATTTTCAGATCTTCTGGGCAAAATTCAAGCTGCTGTGGGTTCCTCTTTATCATTATAGTTTATGTGCTAAATGTATGCAGATTGATCGCCTGAATCTGGAAGGATACGCTAATCTTGAACACTGGGTGGCTGACCTCGACAAGCGGATAGAAGGGATCTTGCTTCAGCGTTTGGGTTATATCATCCAAGTGTGGTGTTCTGAGTTTGATCGGACAGACGATGTTGATGCTCGCCGGGATCCAATGCCTTTGCGTGACATCACCAACAAACGACGGGCTGGCAAAGGCGGGAAGGAGGACAGGGTATGACATGTTGCTGCTCGCAATGCTAGTACTGACCCAACTTCACAGGTCGCCGAGGGCAACATGACCGTAAAACCCATCGTTCACGAAATTCGGATACAAAACCAAGTGATCTTCCTTGATCCGCCTATAGAATATGCACGTGCGACTTGGATAAAGCAATTACATGACTGGTTAGGTACGTATGGTATGGTGTCTCCAATTGTTCAAATCCTTAGTGATTTCTTGAACAGGCGTTATCTGCCGATTGAGACGTATTCAAAGTTCTCGATACGAGATTGGGTTGCAGATGCAGGGCACGCAAGTGTCAGAAACAACATATACTTCTCTGGTACGTATCTCCCACCATATGTCGAGGCTACTACATTCTTAGGAGCTCTACCCAGCTCACACGATTCTCCGACAACACCCTAGAGCGACCATTTTCTCTCATAGAACTCAAAGTTCAAAAGCTCAAAGACTATGTCGCCAAGTGGTTACAGTTCCAGTCGCTGTGGGATCTGGAGGCGGAATATGTTTTCAATCGATTAGGGGACTCCCTCGCGCATTGGCAGCAACTTCTGACTGAGATCAAGAAAACTCGGGCGACATTTGACACGTCAGAAACGCAACTAAGTTTCGGTGTCTGTGTCGTCGATTACGAGCAAGTCCAGGCCAGAGTCAACGCCAAATACGACGCGTGGCAACGGGATATTCTCAGTCGTTTCGGTGTGAAGCTCGGAAATGCGATGAAGGAGATGCATGCTTCGATCATGAAGGCGCGAAACGAGCTGGAGCACCATTCGATAGAGGGTTTAGTTGGAGGAGCACGAAGATTTTAAGTTGTGGTACATGCTTTTTTTTGATACCCATCCATATATCGCGCCATTCGTTACTTGGACCT